GTCTGATATTCCAGATTCATGAAGTGGAAGCAAATGATATAACCAATACAGAGAGAACAGCATGGTGGAAGGTTTCAAATAAACTGCTGAAGCTACAGTTGTCTGCACCAGTCAAATTCACGTGATTAAAAATACTGTCCTGCTTTTATTTCAGCATCTTACTTAGGAAAAATGCTGAAATGTCCTACAAAAGGAAGTGGCAGTATAGGAATAGTAGTAGAGAGGATTCATGAGAATACATTTGCTCTCAGACATGATTCTCAAATTTAGGCTGTTGTCTCAGTCACTTAAGCCCCTTGAGTGAGACCATGATGCAGAAAAACAGTCCTATCTTTCCCCAGTTGCATATTTCCACTGCTTCTCTTGAGCTAGCAGTAATGTTAGCACAGTTACATGGTGAGCTGGGTTAGACTGGCTGAAAACTCCTTTGGCTGATTTAGCTTCAAACAGAGCAGGCTCCTGATGGAGTTTCCTGTATGACCATACAAATACTCACGTCAGCAGAGGGGAACAGACATGATCATGCATGTGGGAGGTGAGGACAGCCGGTTTTGTGACACTGAACACGTGATTTAGAGTGAGGTTCAGGTAGTATATTTTGGCTTTTTCAGGAGACGAGTGCAAGAGTTGGGAAATGGTAGCATTGAGGGCAGGACAAGTTCCCAACTGACGTGCCTGCAGAAGGAATAGCAGTCAAGGATTTTCTTTCCTCTGGTTATGTACTTGTCCCAGGGAAAGGGAAGAGGGACAGGTTTGTGTCTTTCAGTGTTGGCCAGTGTTGTTCAGCATACCATTAGTAGGATCTAGAAGTTCTGTGCACTGGATGCGTCAGTTTAAGCTGAGATTTCCAATGGTGCCAATGAAACTTAGGCTGTTGGTTCTTGTTTACTTTCACTGGAAAGGAGATATTTACCTCCAAAGCTCAGGATGGCAAATCTCCCTTCTGAAATGACCCTCTTACATATGTGCAAGTGTTGCTGTCATTGGGCCCAAGTGATTTGATGCAGTGTCAGTGGAAACACACTCTACAACATGACTGGCCCTCTATGGAAGAACAAGAAAACCAAAAAGGAATATTCTTATTAAATATGGACTTCCTAAAATTAATTGGTAGAAGGGCTGAAGGAATGGTCAGGCCAGGTCTTGGAGTTGTTGGGACTCTCCCTAAGACTGACCCTACCATGCAGCATTTAGTGATGCTGTATTCTGCAGGGGCCCCTGACACATTTACTATTTTGATGGCATCTGCGGAATTGTACATTAAGTTTAAGCACATCTAAAAGCAGGATATTTTGAAGTGCAAGGGCTTGCAATGAGACAGTTAACTCAGTGATTGTATTTCTGCTTCTTCCAGTGCTTGTTCTGGGAAGTTTTGGTCTGCAAAGCTGGTTTAGGTTTTCTGTTTTGTTTTTGGCTTTTTTAACCTCTTATCAATGGGATTGTGCATGATTAAAGGTATAAATCAAACTCAAGGAGTCTGCGAGCCCTAACACTCTTGATGAATTATGGCAAATTTATTTTGCATTACATAATGTATAATTTTTATCCTTTTGTTGACTACACTGTGGCTAGCAGCATGATTTATCCTGAACCTAAATGCTTTGCCAACACATATTTGATGAGAGATATTAGCCATTATCAAGACACATATTTTAGCTATGTAAGCAATGCCAAAGCAGCTGTGAATTCTTAACATATCTCAGTCTGAACAACTGGGAGAATTATAAAACTAGTTAACAGACTAAGAGAAAATACCATATTATCCTTATGGATAAACCACCTTATTAAACAGTGAGATGTATCCTTGGCAACTTTATATTGGACAAAGACAATTAAGGTTGAGGTTAGAGACTTTGTGAAGCTTGAATACAGACTGGATTTCATTTGCCTTAAATCTTTAAGGGATAGCTGCAAACATCTGACCTGAATTGCCTAAGCACTCCAAAGAAAGAAGTTTGGTTTGTACTCTTGTACCAAATTTTACAATTCATGTAACTCGCACAATATTAGAAATTATTTTAACTCAGAGATTGCAGAAACAAACAAGTATTTTTTACTGGGTTTTTGCAATTTATTGGAAAGGGCTTGATGCTATTTTAGAAGTTTTACTACAAAATTTGAAAAAAAAATGCATATACTTATAGACAGATATCCTGTCCTTTGTTATACAAGACACTTCTCTGTTTTTCAAAATGAATTTGAGGAGGCCTGTCTTTTCTGCTCGAAGCCAAGCTTATCTAGGAGGGCTGCAATTTTTAGTCATATCTTGTAATATGTTTTTATGTTATTTTTTAGAACTTAATTGTCAAATTATGTGACAGTTCAAAGTTCCTAGAATGTAAAAATCTGGTGTCTCTAAATCCTTTCCAGTAAAGTAGCTTTAAAATAAAGAGACACTCGTCACTGAATTAGTCAGTGTTTTGAAAGTATCACAATCGTGAGCACAACAAAAGTCTTCTGGAGTAAACCTGGTGATTCAGTGAGCTGGGCCTAAGAAAATACCTGTTTTAATGCATGTATTTTATTTCCTGTGGCACTCCCTAAGGGGTATTTTTTGAGTGACAGCAGAGGACACTTGGGTAAAATGTTGGCTGAAGAGTTCCAGCAGTGAAGGGTAGCATTAACTTTGAAGGGAAAACAGCAAGCTAGTTCCTTACTTGAGATAAAAATGTCTTTATTAATTATATTCTCTTTAATTTGAAGTATAATTCAAGTTGACTAGATTCTTCCCAAGTTAGTCAGCAGTTTCCTACAGAAGTTGCTGTGCTGGGTTCCCTGTTTAACCACATGTTGCTAGATCATGGCATATCATGAGGCCTGCTGGCTGGTCAGCTGCTGAAATTCCAGAGCTGCCACAAGGTCTGCAGGACACTGAAAATATATAATAATTTCCTCATTAAGCATTTAAAAACTATTCCCTTATTTTAATTTTTTATTAAATGGTAGATTTAAATGGCTCATTTTACCTTTTGATTATTTAGAATACTTCCACAGTAGTACAATTGTCTTTTTATTAGTTGGACTTGGTTTTATTTTCATGTTTGCTAGGACATTTTATTCTTTATTTTGCCATAAAGTCCTGCTTCTTTAGCTGCTTTAGTTCTTGTCACTCTTAACTGTGTGAAATGGATTCCCAGACATCCAGCAGGAAGTGTTTGTAGGTCAGTGACTAATTTTCCCAAGCCCATTTTGCAGACTCTGGTGATTTATACCAACTCTATTTATAGAGAAAAGATGACTTTTTTAACCTATGAACTTGCTATCTTCGAGTTGGCATTTCTTCTATCAACTGATGTATCTGCTTGTTGAGTGATGGTGACAGCAAAGCTAATAAACTACACAAGTGGCAAAAAGCATTACAACAGACAAGAATTTGTTTCACATTTAATTACCAGTACAGGCACTGCATTCAGCAGTGTTGGTGTGCATGTCAGAAATACCACGGCCCATCCATTTTATTTACTTGGTCCCCTTTCCTGCAACACATGAACAATTCGCTGTTTTAAAGATTTTAGTCTTAAAAATCCCCTTTCATATGGTAAGATTCTATGATTCCCATTCACTGAAAGGGACCTGAGATACAGGGGTTAAGTGGTTTTCTAGAGTCTTACACGGTCTGCAATGGAGCAGATTTTTTTTCCCAAAATAATGGAAACTGATTCTAAGGATCATGCCAGCTTTTGCCATATTTGAGAGGAAATTTTTAAATGTTCACATGGAAGCCTCAATTTTAGTTCTGTAGGCTTGTTATGTCCTGGGTACTTTTTCATTGAGAGGGAAAGGACTCTGGAATACCAAGGGGTAATGTTTTCATTACTTTTATTCCTTTCTACTTTTGGCCCATTTTGGTGTATAGTTTTCAATCTTGCATTATTTTTCAAAGGAAAAAGTACTACCTAATACCATACAGGACCTGAGGAAATGGAACAAAATCTCTCAGAAATACACACTCAAAATTATATATCTGTTGTTCATTTGTTAAGTACATTAACTGATTTTTGGTTCTTTACCTCTAAGATCAATATTTCCATTTTCTGTATTTTCCAGGCACATACACAGGGTTTTTGTCTGGAGAAGGGTGACTTTTGGCTTCTCTACAATTCTGAGTTCCTACAGTATTTACAATTGTAGTACCTTGCTAAAAATCAAAAAGACTCATGCCTGAACACTTCTCTATTGAAAATTTGGATACTTCAAGAGCTTTAATTTTCATACTGAGAATGTTCTTACTTTTTAATTTCACCTCTTGATTTGAAAGTTAACCGAGGAAAGTATTTTCACTCAATACAGGTGTTAATACTTAGGAGACCTTTACTCAGTTTGAGACCGTTTCACAGAAAAAGTTCTTGAGATGAGTCTGTACAGTTCACCATATTTATCTTGATTTCCTGTCTCTGAAACCTTTTAACTTTTCTTCAAATCTATTCTTCAAACAAAGCCCTCTTTATTCTACTTAAAAAGGCTGGTCTTCTGGGGAGCTGTAGGATAAAGCAATAAACTTCTCTGATGCTCTTCTTCATATAGACAGCTGAGCAAATGTATGTACAGACACATGCTTTTCTGGTGAACTGTGTTTCTAAAGACTTTAATCCTCTGCATATTAACCTCTATTATCTTATATTAGAGGACTTGTAAGCTCATACTACACTTTAATGTTTCTAACTGTGGGCTGCCATGACTGATATTCAAAATTGCTAGGCATTGAGAGTTGGATAAAAGTGGTTGATTTTATTTTCTGAAGATGAATTTGAGAAAAAAAGTTTTGTCTGAACATGCTATCCCAAATTGCTGGGCCTGGCTCAGTTCTCATTCTTACTGTAAATTAGGACTAGCTCCATTGAAACTAAAGAAGTTTTATTTGCCTGGGCTTGTATGAAATCAGAACAGATTAACAGATACCTCTTTATAGAATGGGATCTTTAACAGGCAGAACGGAATAAAACACAGTAGGCTCTTATTCATACTCCATATAGACTCTCTGGCTGGCAAAGTGCTTTGTGGCAGCACTGCCTGTGTTTACACATTATTTTGTTTTGTTTAGTTAGGCTTTTCTCTACAAGGGGTTTTATTGTTCAAGAGGGGGCACTCCCACCCTTGCTCATAGTCATCAAGTCATACCGTGGAGTAATTACTGCCCTTTCCATGCCAAGATCTCAGACCAAGAAAAGGCAGCCAATCCTGATACAGGAAGACACACACTGGCACAAAAAAACTAACTAGGGAGACAATGAAGAGAGAAAAACACAGAGCGAGACTGTATGGGATTGTGCTCTATCTGCCCGTGACAGCAGCATCAGGGGCAATGTTGTTTTTCCCCAGTAGCTTTCCAATATAGTTACTCCATTCACTGATGAATTGAGAGTATGTGAAACTGTGCCAAAGCTAATCAAATCAAATTCCACCCAGCTGGTTAAATCCAATTGCTTGTGCCTTTCTCCACAATGCAAGGGCATCCATGGTACACTTGGCTGAACTGCCTCCTCCCCTCCCAGTGCTCATGGCAGATCTGTGCTGTGTGGGTGATCTTCCCTCATATGGGTAATGCGTGGGTTTCTGGCTGCTTGCAAGTGCAGATCTTATCTTGTTCAATCCCTGAAGAAATAATAATAAAAAAACCCCAAACAGTTACATATTTATTTTAATATTCCAGCATAGCTGTTCTTGAAGTATTTCCCCTAAAACAATGAACAATCTTTCCCCAGTTGAGGGGAAACTGCCTCTTTCTCCAGTGATTTCAAGCTGGTGAGTAACATCACAATAATAAAAAAGGTAATAATATAACATAATATGCACTTATCTGGGCTATGCATGTTTAGAGAACCATACTAACACCTGCTCTCTGGTCTATCACCTTAATTCTTGAAGCAACTATTTTCTCCTGTAGAGTAAATGGAAACAGGCAGGGTCCTCTGGTTGCCACACACTTCAGAGTACGAGTGTGACTTTGTTCTCTGCATTATTGCCTAGAATAGTATCTCATCATTGGCTAGCATGAGATAATATCCCAATTTACACACTAAAGTTAAATACATGAACTAGGTAGCCCAAATTTTCCCCTTGATCTCCAAAAGAAATCTTGATTTATTCTTTGCATGTTTTTCTCTGATTCAAGTAAGGCACTTGATTTCTGTGAAACAAGTGTGCCATTCACCAGAGGACTAACTTCACTGATACCATGAGTATTTTTAAGCCAGGTAACGCTAGAGCAGTAGCTCCCATCTCTTACCTGCTTCTTGTTACATCTGGATGTGTTTCCTGTGAACAGCTCCCTGCAATGTACCACAGAAACCTCCAAATGTCTCTGATGACGGCACAATGGTTGGGGTTGGCACAGACAGAGCTTCAGATAACTTGTGTCAAGGCTGAAAGGATGTTTTCTGGCAAGCACCGGATTTGTACCTCCAAGAAAGAAAAGACTGCCTTAATCCTGGAAGAATCAACACCGTCAGCAAAGGGGAAATCTGCCACAGGAGTAGTCAATTCAAATCTATGGGGGTGGGAATCTAAGAGTTGATCCATGAATGCATTCTCTTGAGGAGCAGCACAGTGAAAGGCTTTGCCATACAGGCTGGGGCAGAATCAAGTGGGATGCACTCTGGTCTTTCCTTGAGGAAGAAAGTATTAATGCTACTGAATTTACACTTGTAACAATAAACATAAAATATTAACAATAAGAATTGTCAGAAGGATAATAACATTCCTCAGATGTGTTCATGACTGAGGTTTAGTTGATTTGGAATTTAATACTATAGTCAAGAGAAATGTAGCTATTACAATCAACAAAGTTTAGGGTATGGTTCAGCTGACCAGACAGACCACTGTGTACCTAGGAATGTTAATGTCAAGCTTTTGCTTAAACTCCAAACAATGATTATGTGTGATAAATTTGGCAAAATGGCATTAGAGTGGATGTATACCCAAACTGTGAGTAGGACTCTTACTAAACATCAGATGGCGGTGTGGGGAAGGTATTGTGTGACACAAATTTCTCAGTCTGTATTTGAAAGACCAGCAGAATTAAAAGATCTGATTGTCACCAATCATTTATCTTAAGATTTTTTTTTTAACTGTGCTTCACAAATTGTTTGGTTTGAAGGAAGAAAGTTTTGGATTGAATAATTGTTACAATTTTTATCTACTCAAAACAGATAAAAGCTTATATTAAGCAAAACACTGACCTACATCTGCTGGTTTGAAATACTTATATTTTTCAACAATGTTCCAGGAAGATTTCAAGCACAAAATTTTATGGGTCACATCATTAATTTTAGCATATTAAAATCCATTATCTTTTGTATAGTGGAGTGTCCTCTGTAGAGGGGAGATGCTACAGATTGAAAATATTTTTGTGGAAGAATAAGCCCTTTGTAAACATGATATGTCAGCACTGACCAAGCTCAAAACCTTGGCCTTGGTTTAAGGAGCTTTATGTGGTACTCAGCTGATACATGCAGTTGCTCAGGAGGGCAAACTTGTTAAAATACATAATGGTAAACCTCAAGAATAGAATAGTCTCCAATCAAAGAAAGACATACATGATGTCTAAGCATGTCAGTAAGGTACAGTGAACTGTTCTTGCTTTACTGTACCAATATTTATCAAATAATGCAACTACATTTGCATCATACACTTGAGATAGCTGAAATAAAGTAATCAAAACTATGTTTTCCTGGTGTGTATTTCACCTATGTACTCTTCTCAGCTCTTAGATACCAGCAGGAGACCATTACCCTGGAGCAGCATCTCTTTTCTTTGACTTTAAATATGTATTTTAGTGCCTTTGTCATTGTAATGTACTTCATCAAGCTCTTAGAGTGAAAAGAGGAGGAATAAAGGTATATGAAAAATTCAGAATGAAAGACTGCAAGTAAGAAAATAGGTAGCTACATAAAATCATAGAATGATGGATAGAATCATAGAATGGTTTGGGTTGGAAGGGATCTTAAAGATCATCCATCTACTGATCACATAGTGATTACATGGTCACAACTGGTGATCACAAGTTTTAAATACTTAGTATTTAAAACATTTCAAATGTTTAGTTTTAGAATATTAGTTTTAAACTTGAACTAAAGTTGAAATCATTCCTTTTTAATAAAGAAAATGTTGTTTAAAGCTCTACTTAGAGAAGCAAACTTTGTAATTAACCTATCTCCATCATGTGGTTGCCTGTTTTGTTTCAAAGCTTATGAAAATCGTGGAACAAGTATAAGCTGCAAGTTTTGTCCAAGAGTTTGCTACAATAGATTTATAGCTGTTAAAGTTTCTAAATAATTAGGGGTTATGAAATGTTTATGCAAAAATGTAGTGGGATTGATACAGCAAGGCAAGGCAACACAATGGTTTCTCAGTTAGCATTACTCAAGCACGTACTTAAAAGACAATGGCACTGGTGCCCTGAGTGCCCATGTCGTGCTGGGAGACTACAGTTCAAAAAGGCCACAAATGAGTGCATGTCCCTGTTTCCTACAGGAAGATAGAATTTAACAGGGCAGGTCAGGGAGCCATGGCAAGCAAGAAAACAGATAATACTTCCACAGAGATCTCTCTAGTTCTGTTGAGGTCCTCTTGTGAGATATGGTAAGCCAGGTGTTTCAATAACATCTTGCTGTTCTATTGTACATATACTAAGATGATTTGACTCTTAAAAAATCGTGTTTGAGATTTTCTGATTGTTGCCTATGCCCATGTGAGGTTTAACCAACGCTGCCACCAGGTTAAGCCCAGGCCTGGTCTGTGCAGACTGAGCTGGGCGCAGGCTCAAGCTCATCTGAAGAGCAAGGTGAGCTCCAAGGGAGGAGCTGAAGTGCCCTCAGCAAGTGATGACATGGTGGTGGAAGGCACTAGTTAGCATGATATCCTACAAGACAACACTTCTAAATCAGAGCTCCAGCAAATATCTGATTTCCTTTGGTCTTGATGCAAACTTCTGAAGACACTAATACACAAAATATACTAAACCTATCCTTATGTGAGTTACTCAAACACAAAGGAATGATGTAACTCAAAATCTGCCACCAAGCCATGCTCGAGGAGGGGGTATCACAAAACTAGTTACAGAAAACATCCAAAAAATAGTTTCATTTAAAAACTCCACACTTTTTCTTTTTGATTCTTTGTATCCCACTACAGTAGGTTTGCATCAAATAAACATTCAAAGGTAGTCAAAAATTAAAAATTAATTTTTCTTTGCAATTTGGGATCTGAGAAAAAAACAGGATGAAAATTTGCAAGTCTTTCATGTAATCATCTGACTTGAGCAGATCTTGTGAAAACATCAGATATCATGAGATGCCTGGTAGAATAACAAGTAATGGCTCCCCGGGCACAGGGCTGTAAGTCAAAGCATTTTTTATAAACACAGAAAAGTGTGTTTCTGTTATCAAATTATCAGTGTAACCATTCAACTACCATGACTCAGACCTCCAGCAGTCATGAGATGTGCTTAGATTACAGAGATTTAAAGAAAAAAACCCCAAAACAATAAAGACTAATGAAAACCATGCACAATCCCCATCTTCAGCATTACACCGACACAGCAAAAGCGGATTTTGCCTGGGGAAGCCCTGAACACAGGGAAGGTGCTAAGAAAGGGGTGCATTACACTCCTCCCCCTCCCCCCCCCCGCCTCTTTGGCCTGTTCTCTTTGGCACTGTCAGTCTACAGGAGACGTAACGAGTTCTCAAAGAGTTCGCAGCCCCTAAAAAGCTCTGGGACACCAGTGAATGTTTCCCTACAGGATGCGGGCCCCTCCCGGCGGGGCAGGTGCGGTGGTTCTGGCCTAGACCAGGGGCGGCCCCGCGGGGTTCCTGCCGCGGTCACGGGCACGGGGCTTTCCCGAGGACCCCCCGGGCCGGGAGGCACCGCTGCGGGGAAGGGAGCGCCTGCATCCCCCGCTCCCTTCAGCGCCAGCGTCCTGAGCTCCGGGACTGTGGGAGAGCGCTCGTGTCCGTGTGCGGGGCAGCGGGGACGCTCGGAGCAGGAGGGCCGGGAGCCGGGGCGGGCTCCGCCGGTGGCTGCCGGGGCGGCCCCTCCGCCGCCCCCCGTGAGCGGGCACGGCCGGGGCCGCCGCTCCCGCAGCCGCCCGGCGGGAGGCGGCACCGCCCGCTTGAACCGGAACCGATTCGCGGGGGCCGCCCGGGGCGGCTGCTCCTGCTCCCGCTCCTGCTCCCGGTGCCGGTGCCGCTGGCGCGGGGGCTGCGGCGCTGCCGCG